AAAGGCCATCAGTGGCTTCCTTCATAAGAAATCCAATGAAATCTTACCTAACTCTTCTAGTTCTTCCTGCAGCACTGGAAACTGCAGGCCATAACCTTTTTTCCATATGCATCTTCCTTTGCTTTCATGAAAAGAAGATCCCCTGGATTTTCCCTTGGCCTTTGGGTTGCTGTCAAGCTTCTCCCAGGTTCTTCCATTGGTTCTTACTTTTTCATCCACTGCTTGGTGTTGGTGTTCCTCAGTCTCTTGCCTCCACTGTGCCCTCACTCACTCTATATATTCTTTGGACTATCTCATTTTTTTCTACTCATTGCTTTAATTACCACAAAACTGACAGAGGCTTTCAAAGCTAAATATCTGGTTAGATATTTAGATTAAACTCCAGATTTATAAATGAATCCATTCCTTCAAAAATATTTTATTGAGTGTTCTCTATGTGCCAGAAATAGTTCTGGTTGCTGATCCAACATGGTTGGAAATAGACTGTGCCTCGTTCACTGCTATGTTCCCACCACTTACAATCTCCACCTGAATGACTCACAAACATCTAAAACCCAACATATTCAAATCTGAACCCATTATATCCACCAGAATATGTGCCCTTCACTCTTTGTCCCATATATTAATGAACGGCACTTCCATTCCTCAAATCAACCAAGTCAGAATCATCTTCCTCATACCACATGTCAGACTGGTGAAAACAATCTGCAAATTTTATCTCCTTAACATTTCTTTGGTTAAACTCCTCCTTCTCATCTCCATAGTTACTGCCTTAGTTCCTTAGGAAGTCATCTCTCATCTTTCTACTATGATCCACAGCATAGAGTAGATAGTCAACAGACATTCACAGAATAAGTTTATGAATAAATGAACACAACAATGAATGGAAAACTCACACAATTGCTATCATCTCCTTATAGGCCATATTTATTTACTGAACTCCAATTTATTTACTGAACTAATGAAAGGCAAATCTTTCCAAAATTTATATCTGATTATGTCATTCCCCTGATTATCACCATTCAATGACCACTACTGCCTACAGGATAAATACCAGATACTATGGTCAGCATCTGAAGCTATCCAAGAGATTGATTACTTGCCTTTTGCTCTATCTTCTTTTCTTGAGGCTTTCTACACCCTGAAAGTACTTAACAGCACCTAGAATTACTGTGCTGATTCACAACCCCGTATCTTTACTCAAGCTGTTTTCTCTGTCAAGATTGTTCATTCCCTCCTGCTGTGCCTACCTGAAAATTAACTACTCATTTGTGGAAACTCAGCTTACACCTCACTTCCCCTTTGAAGCCTGTGCTGACATTTCTGCCCAGGCTTCACTTCGTAACTTCTCTTTCTAAGCACACCAATAACATTGTTTCACACTTGTTCACAGGCTTGTAGTAGTCCTTTGCTGGAGTCTTTTCTTTCCTCCAGAGTGGAGGCCTTTGCCTTGTTAATTTGGGAATTAGCACATATTACACACTCCAATACTTGTAGATGGATAAATAGATGAAGGAGTAGGTGATGAGAGTCATGGAAATATTTTAGGCAAGGGGATGATATGATAGGGTTTCCATTTTACGAACAATACTATGATGTTAGAGCAGAGAGAAAGCTAAGAACAGAAGCCAGATGATCAGGCAGGAGAATATTACAAACCATCCAATGGAGAGGTAAGAAACAGAATGGAATAGAAGTAGTAAAGAAGAAAAGGGAATGTATTTGAAAAATACCTATAAAGTAAACAAACAGTATTTAATGACCATTTGCCTGACCAGAGGGAGTAACTATGAGAAAAAGGATGACTTCAGAGCTCCTAGCTTGGGTGACTTCTTCTTGTCTCCTTGTTTAATATCTATAAATTTGCACCCATAGCATTAAGTCAGACAAAGATACATTAGGCAAAGTGATCAATTACATGTATCTACAACACCGTTTCCCATGTAATTTCTCAGAACCACATTTGCTGCATCAGTGCAAATTTATATACGAAGCCCCATCCTGTGTTCCTCTACTATCCTCATTATTCTTCAAAATTTTCCCTAAACAAGCAGGAATTAAAAAGGGACAAACAACATTCAAGGCAACGAGTCACCTCATGTTTGAACAGCACACTAGTAAAATGAAGAAAAGTTGAAGACAGGAAATATGGCTGTCAGGTAAATCCTAAAGAACGGTAAGGGCAAGGATCTCCTAATCCCCACTAATTTAAAAAGTTTAAGGGAAAGTATTTGAAGTAGGTCATCCCTTGCTCTGTCCAGCCATCCTATCAATAGGCTAGGATATGTACTCTTGAAAAGACATTTTACACCCCTAAAATACCATTATAATAATTATTTTTCCATAAATAATAGAAATTTATATTTACCTCAAGCATAACTTTAAACATGCTTTTCTTGTTTCTTGGCAGTGAAAACACTGGTCGACCAAGTAAATTCATCCCTGAAGTACCTCATTAATCACAGTGCACTTGTTCTTGGCAAGAACCTTAATATGCTACAAAAACTGTTATTAAAGTAAGATTTGGGGATTCCCAGACTGGCAAGGAATTAGTTAATTACACCTCTCTCGAAATTATTTTCTTGGGGTCTAGTTAAACTTACAGCATAAAGCAACTTCGATAAATGAATGTAATGCGTAAAGTCTGGCTATTCTAAAGCTCATTTAAAATCACAAGCAGCAACTGCCAAAGATGGCCTCTTTCCCCAGGGTCTGCTTAGTTGTGCACAATCCTCCAGAAGATGATACTATCCATTCCCTCTTTGTGCTAATGTGGATCTAGCACCCCTATCTAATTGCTGAGGCATTACAGTTTCAGACTCTAAAATATATAATGCAAAACTTCACATAAGCTACATCTATTAAGTACGTAATTTATTTCCTATCTACCACTAAAGATACTGCTAGACTGATAAAGCTTGGTGGATAGAGAAGTATACAACCTTGAACCTTTGGAAAAATAATTTATCAATGTTTTAAAATTCTGTAAGCCCATACAAACCTGTTAACACCAACACATGGAAGAGAAAATGTTGCGTTGCAAGTTCTCATTGATGTTCAAGAACAAGTTAGGAGATGCAAAGTATGTGCACCAACCAAGGCTTTCTTTAACTCTGTCTGAATATACAATGCATAATATACCAAAAATGAAAGGCTAGAAATGGTATCATACTTAAAATTCAAAACCATACATATTTTGAGCATACAGTTGTAAAGAAAAAATCATAATCTATACAGTACATATTTGCTACCAAATTGAGTATCATAATTGCTAAATTATTTCAGTATATTCTGACAGGTCAAAATAATTTACCAGGCTTATTAAGTAATATGTTTAATTATATATCAGTTCAGAGGAGATTAATATGAAAAGTGTCAGTAGCATTTCTCTATCATTATCCTAACCACATTTAAATAAATGTGAATCTTACATAAAAGTTATACTTTTTGATGTAATATTGATGCAACACAACCGTTCTCCTTGTGTGCACTGTAAAACGGAAAGTTGGCTGGAATATTCCGCCTAATGCTACATGTTCACATCAATCAGAAACTGTAAAATTTTCCAGATACCAGAGACCCACAGATTGTAGACTCCACCAATTTCCTGACTCCTATGTGGTCGAATTCCAGGTTCACCTAGTTACAAAACCAGCCCTTCTTCCACGTTATTTCAAAACACGTTTCTGGTGTTGATGCTAATTCTACACCCCCGGAGAGAGTTATGTACGGATGACACAACTTATCTCTAAAAGAAACTTAGTCCGTGTGCTCAAGACTTATTTTACTAGGAAACAAGGAATGTATCAGCGAGTATCTGCAACTTTCTCTACTGGTCTTCTAAGGTTGATGTCTTTATATTTCATCTTAACAAAAAAGAAGCAGAAATAATGATACTAAAAAGAGAGGAAGCAAAAGGAGAAAAGGAAGAAAAAAAGAATTAGACATGAGGTAACATTATAAAAACAACCTTAAAATGCCCAGATAAACGTGACTCTAATAGGAGACTGAATGAATGGACTTTGTGGGAAAAACAGTAGTAAACTTTAAAGCCACTGAAAGGTTTTAAATGCCTAAGGGAAAAATAAACATTTGCTTCCAATCATTTTCTCATTAAGCATTCTCTGCTAGATGGAGAAGGCTTACTGAAAAAACACACACACACACACACACACACACACACACACACACACACTTTGACTCCGCGCCACAAATGGGGACTTAATCCACTGCCTGATCTCTGTCCGAGGCGACCCATTTGCGCTTCTGCTATCGCACCTCTGCCCGCGTTCCTGTGCCCCAGGTTCCCCGCTGCCTCCCTACCCGCTGCAGCGCGGGAGCCTTGCTTCGCCTGGCCTGCTGGCCTCCTCTAGACCTTGGCCACCTTCTCCGTGGCAGGAAGGGCTACATGCACTGACAGATTTTCCGTTGGTGGTGGCTGGGTGGTGGCGAGGCGTGTTTCCGGGCGCACTTAAAACCTAGCAGCTCTCTCCACCAAGTAGCAGCTTCCCCTATTCCGCCCCTAGGACTGAGGACCTAGCCCTCGGTACCACCTCACTCCTCCCGGTCCTACCCAGCCATCACCTCCTAACCTCCCCCAATGTACTCTCAAGCCTCACACAGGCGCCTGTCCTCCCTTTGCATTCCCTAGCTCCCGGGCGCCCCGTTCGGTTGAAGTTTACGTATCTTGGGACCTAATTGCTCCCAATTATCCGCGCAGCCTAAGTCCCGCGTCTGCCTGGCTCCCGCCCCGGGAGCCTGAAGCTACCGGGCAGTTCATTGGGTGTCCTCGGGGAAATGGTTCAAGCTGTAGAGATGGGAGAAGTGGGGCTGGGGGAAGGGAGAGGCTCCAGAAGGAAGACCACGAACACGTGCGAAGAAATAAAAGCCACCACGTGTGCACGCGCGCGGGGCCCAAGGGCGCGAGCGCGGAGCACGCCCCAGGGGGCCAGGGACAGTGGTCCCCTGGAGCGGGCATAGCAGGGGGCGCGGGTACTCACACGAAAGCGTGGTAGATGAACGCCCAGCCGCGGGGTCTCTCCAGCACGTTGTACAGGTAGTTCTGCACCCGCCGGTACTTGACGTTGCGCCGGCAGCTCTGGCTACTCGTGTAAGAGAGCGGCTTCCCCAGCAGGCTCATCCGGGCCCCCTGCTTGCCCCGGCGGCTCTCCCTCAGGCCAC